TCCTGCGGAACTCCTAAGCAGGTTGCTGGAGGAGCTTTCTGCTACGTCTCTACTCCAGACCTCGGTAAAGCCTCCACCCGTCGCCCAAACACATAAATAAATACGCAGACCCAGAGAGCCAGGAGAATAACAAGGCACTTTTTGTTAACAAGCCTGGGGCGAAGGAGGCCGCCGTGCCCGAAGGGCCCGGGACCTGCGCACCAATATCTCAAGACAAACGTGAGCGTGAATTTTTCCATCGATCTTTGTGCCCGCACCTTCTGAAACAGAAGTGAGGCTACGCCTTCATCATCAATTTTTTTTAAATCTACTATCTGAACATGAGCCAGCAGTGTGCCCAGGCGGCCAAGAAGGCCAAGGGCATCCTGGCCTGTATCAGAAATGGGGTGGCCAGCAGGAGTAGGGAAGTGATCGTGCCCCTGTACTCGGCACTGGTGAGGCCGCACCTCGAACACTGTGTTCAGTTTTGGGCCCCTCACTACAAGAAGGATGTTGAGATGTTGGAGCGTGTCCAGAGAAGGGCAACGAGGCTGGTGAGGGGTCTGGAGAACAAGTCTGATGAGGAGCGGCTGAGGGAGCTGGGGTTGTTCAGCCTGGAGAAGAGGAGGCTGAGGGGAGACCTCATCGCTCTCTACAACTACCTGAAAGGAGGTTGTAGCGAGGTGGGTGTCGGTCTCTTCTCCCAAGTAACTGGCGAAAGGACGAGAGGAAATGGCCTCAAGTTGCGCCAGGGGAGGTTTAGATTGGATGTAAGGAAAAATTTCTTTACTGAAAGAGTAGTTAAACATTGGAACAGGCTGCCCAGGGAAGTGGTTGAGTCACCATCCCTGGAAGTATTTAAAAGACGGGTAGATGAGGCGCTTAGGGACATGGTTTAGTGGGCATGGTGTTGTTGGGTTGACAGTTGGACTCGATGATCTTGGAGGTCTCTTCCAACCTTTAATGATTCTATGATTCTACTGTAGAGAATTCTGGGAGACCTAGATATCAACTTGAGAGTCTGAGAGTTGAACAGGATAAGAAGAGCCTGTGTCCAACCCTCCCCCCCTGCCCAAAACCCAAAAAACCAAACCAAAAACCAATGCTTGAAGTATAACAGTGCAGCACGAGGCCCCATGCATGGGAGGCTTTACTTGCAAAATCATCCGAATAGAAGTGTCCTTCGAGGAAGGAGCTACCACAATTAGTGTTTTATTGTTGGCCTGTAAATTGACTGTGTTAATACCAGTTAATCGTCAGAGCCTATGAAAATAACATCACAGGGATGTGCAGAATCACAAGCTGGGAGACACTGATCCTATGGAAATCAGCGCAGCGTTCAGAGCCTGGTACGCTGGCAAAGCGCGTGTGCTTTAGCATGTTACACTGCATCGGAGGGAACCATGCTATGGTCAGGATAATTCTTGGGTGTTTAGTGTAGGTATGTGAACTTGTGTTTGCAAGAAGGTATCTGAGAGCGTACCTCAGATCTTGGGTAATAACATAAAAATAAATGCTCCCTGTGGAAGCTACTTCATTCAGTGAAAATTCTCATGTTATTTTGTAACGTGGGATCCTGCCGTCAGTGGGCAGTTACTGTGACCCACAGGGGAAGATGTTTGTTGTTCAGCAGTGGCTCAGCTTTGCCTTTCAGCACGTTCGCTCTCATTTCATACCTTCACCTCACTTGCAAAATTTCCTGTGTAAAGTAGCCTATCAGAAATGCAAATTGCTAGATATTGTTAGCATCTGAAACTATTTGGTACTGCTGAAGTTTCAGTTTAGAAACCGACAGAGATAGCTGGATACGATACACAGAATGTGAGCTGAGTACGCAAGGTAAGGTCATTTGACGGTACGAGTCTTATGGTTTTGGTTTTTAAAGAAGTTAATTTCAAAAAGATTTAAAAAAATAAAATAGACTAGCAAAGGAAGAGAACTTAAGTAACAAAATCAAATAGTAAAGCCTTCCTTTACAGCCATCACTTTGTATCAAAAAACATGCATAAAATAATTCCCAGCTTGCCTCTGAAGTTTTCCATTAGGGTTTTTTTTCTCTTGAAACAGGATACTTTTCAGTTAATTCTTTTTTTGTTGTTCATTTTAAAAAAAGTGTTTTCAAGCCAAACCTCAAGATGTATTCATTTGTCAATGAAGTAAGTTTGTAGATTTGAAACCGAAATGTAAAAGCCCTCAGACATGAAGTTTTCAAATTTACAACTGTTTCACAGTGCAACGGTAGTATGGGAAAATATTAGTGTTATTTCAGTTACCATTGTGGCTTTGCTGGCAGCGTTAGGGAGGAGTATTCCTAAAGCAGATCCTGATCAAGGTAGTTTTGAGTTAAAATCTCTGGGGAGCCTCAAGTGAGATGCTGAAGTATTGTCGCATGAATGAATGATCTCATTTTCCTAAAGGTGGGACAATCTAGTGGATGCTCCGAATTCAGTATTTTGGAGAATTTCAGGGGGTCTACTACAGCGTGATCACTCGTGCACGTCCCCGTGCACACTCTCCTCGGCCTGCTTCACCACTGTCCTCCGAGACCGGGTGTGTGGCTGGGGAAGGGTGTTTGTGGGGTGGTGGTAGGGGGACTGGGCGGGAGTGCGGTGCAGGGAAAATCGAAGGGGTTTGTACGGGGACGGGGGGGAAGACGGAGCTGGCTTTCTCTGCCAAGGCGAGTAGGTGGTTGTACGCGCAGTTCCCCATCTGCCAGAGAGGAAAAAAACCTGCTTTTCTCTCCCTTTGCATCAGGCGACAGCGCAAGGCAGGAGCTGTGCCAGCTCAACCGAGCGCAGGCGTCCCTTTTCAGCGGCTCGGTGG